CCCAACATTAGAAAAATGTTCCGCAGTAGACTGATCGTAAAGACACGGGTTCCCAGTAGAACACTGAAGTCAAGCAGCACTGGCTACCGTCAGTAAACAGGTGAGTGATCACTTTGATCAGCCTGAATAGGGACCAAGATTGCGCTGTATTGGTCCTCTTTTAACTGTTCTGCCATAAAAAGCTTGACTTCGCCCACAGGTCATCGGGATACCAAAAGCAGGAGAGCCTTCTCCTCTGCAGAGGATCAAAATTGTGATGCCATGTCTTCGAATCATCGTCAGGGATGTTTCCCAGACCGTCGCCAATAGCCCATTGTGTAGCTCTAGTGCGACGTAAATATAGTACCTACCTACCTTATCTTTAAAGAAGTGGCAAAATTTGTTTTATATTCTAATTTAAACCTTGCACGAGGGATTAAATTTTTAGTAATCACCGTTTCGTATTGGAGCAAGAGAAACTTTAATCATGAACGTAAATCGTATTACGAACTAAAATATGAATGTTTATTCACTTTTCAACATAGTCACTATTAACATTGAAACATTTGTTATATTTTATTTGTTGAAACATTTGTTATATGTTGTATTTTAATCAAACAACCTTTGCAATTTTTTCTTATTAAAAAAAATCGGTAAAACTTCCTTTTTCTGCTTTTGGTTGTACATTTATGGTATAAAAAATATTTTTGAAATTCAATAATAAACAGTTATTGCAATTCGTTCATGACTTGCCTCTTATTTGGTTGAATAAAATCTAAGTTTCGAATAATTCTGTAATAGAAGATTATAAAAAGCTGAATACGAACATTTAATGCACACACAGATGCTAGAAACTTATTTTCAAGTAAAACATCGAAAATATCGAACAGAAGAGTAAATTACAGTATCTTCATATTAGGAATCTTAAATGAAGTTTCAAAATTCCATTTAACACGCCTTGGGATGATACAATCCAAGAGACAAATTCCTCGGAAGCATAAAATCTGAAGCAACCTCATAAAAATGTAATAGAAGTATAAAAAAAAAAACTCTTATTATGTTTAAAACCGTGAAAGAGTTACATAATAAAAATGGGTTTCCTTACATTTCTTTAAATCTATACATATTCGATGAGGTTGAGAGCAAGTTTTTGACAAAATTAAAAACCTCCTTTTCACCGAAAACTACATACGGTTAATACCAATAATTGAAGAATGAACCTAATTTGAGAACAAGAGTTAATGGATAGGTATATTTTTCGATTAAACGTGACCGAGAGGATATTTTACATAACACTTTTACCCACTTTTCTAAAGAGCTGTTAAAAATCCTTGTTATTATATTCCTAAGTAGGTATTGAATTAATTCTTTACGATGACACAGGAGTGACATTATCAAGTGACTCGCTTAATTGGAGTTTTGTGCTAAAGTCATTATGTGTAAAAAAAACAATATTTGAAGATGTTTACTAATTGGGTAATGTCAGTGTTATAAAACTGGTAAATAGTGATTTTGTATTATCGGGATAATTTTGTGTAACGAAAAATTTTTGTTTAAATTAGATGAACAAAGATATTAAGTGATTTATGAATTAAAGCTTCTTATCTTTTAAGTAGTTGCGTCAATAATTAATTTAGTTTTAATTTCATAATAGTTTTTTTTAAAATTAAGTCTCCCTTATTTTAATTACTACTTCGTTTTTGCGTAAATATTTTTGTCAGCTTAAATTTAAGTAATCTAATTTTTTTGAAATCTTAATTATCAGGTGATACTACACAGCATTATTGTTTTTACGCGACTGAAACCGGTTTGCACTCGTCTACGTTAGTCTATCATTTGGTTAAATTAGACGATATGTAATATAAATTCGACGATAGGATAAATTAGACGATATATTATACAAATATAGAATATTTATTATATCAGGTATTATATTAGCATATTATAATAATTAGTCTAAATTATTTGGCGCACTGTAGTTTTTTAAATAATTATATGTTTTGCACGAGTTTGAATGCAATACTTTTATATTTAAACATACATGTAATGAGTTTTATTCGTGAGATTTTTTATATACTTCCTATTTGTATTTACTTTTAGCGTATTGCATTACAATGTTAACCAATTGATAGACGAACGCAAATCAAATGCAAACCGGTTTCAGTCGCGTGAAAGCAACGAAGCTGTATAGTATCCCTTGACAATTAAGATTTTGCATAGAATCTTACAGTGCGTCTAATAATTTAGTCAGGGTCAGTAGTCGTCTTTAAAGGCCAGCTTAGCAAACTTGCAAAATTACCTTACACAACGTATAAACTTTAATCGTAACCAAGCCGAAAGCGCAGAATGACTGCATTTAAATATTTAAATATTCTAATTCTTCAACCCCTCTTTAAATATTAACATCTTAATTAATTTTAAAGAATAAATAAACCAAATTCTCTCGCCGTCTTGATGTTTCTCGAAGTATTGTCCATGCGAAAGTCTTTGATTTCAATTTTAACTATATTTCAAAAGATGTCCACGATATTGTCCATGGTTCTTTAAGTATTGAATTTTAGCAATTCCCTGATGTGAGAATTTAAGAGAATTTGCAGACTTGGTGGATTATCTCTGGAATTGCTGGACCGATTTTAATGAAATTTGTTATGTTCATACATTGATACGATACAAAACAAATAACCATTCAACAATTTTAATATACACGCATGATCGTGCGTAACACTCATTGGAGTCGGAAGGTATGAAATTGCCACAGGACAATTCAGGCCAATTGCCACAGGAAATGGTAAACTGCCTTATCTCGAGTATGAAATCACGCTGCAAGGCATGTATATCTGTAAGACGGGACTATACCTTATAATAACCCTTTTTTTTATTATTCTGCAACCGCTGTTTCATACCTTCCGACTCCAACGCACTGTTACGCACGATCAACCGTCTGTATTACAAATGTTGAATCGTTATTTGTATTGTATCAATGTATGAACATTTAGTAGTATTAGTACTAGCATTAGTAGTAGTGTTACACTAGTAACATTGAATTTTTTTTCAATGCATTTTACAACAATTTGTTAGTGTAGTGTTATTCTTCAACTTAATGAACTTTGAACTTAATGATCTTTCACCACTTGCCACGAAATACATGGTAGAGATAAAATCTGCTGAAGGTGCTGAATCCCAGCCGAGAAGAGACTGGACGACGAGTTTTAGAGAGCGCCACCTACAGAATTTCAAGTGGGAGAGGACAGGCCCGTACTTTACGTTTGTGAGTGAAGATGGCAACGATTGTTGTAGCGTCTCTGCAAGTAATTTGAGAAGCAGAGGTGGGTCTGTTAGCTGGAGAAGTGGTGACCGGGGTTTAGGCCTCCGGTGTGTGTGTTGAAAGAACGTTTTGTTGGAATGAAAAATTTGCCGGAATGGCTATCTTACTACATCCTTTTAATCTCCCCTTTAAATGAAGTATCTGTTTTACAGATATTATTCTAATTGTATTTTTTATACCGTCCATTTATTTTTTTATTTTTGGATCACCATTTGAACCTTCAACATGTTTTTCACGAAATAAATGATTGTGTAAGTTATTTTTATTTGTCGTTTCTCCTTTGCTGAATATATTATTTTTTGATTTTTATTCTAGCTTCCTTATTCAAAATCTTAATTGTTCTTTTCCAGAGATAATTTTTGAGACAATGTACTAACTACTAAATTTTCTTTAAGACTGACCACCACGTGTGGTGGTACACTTTAGTCAGGTTTAACTTTAGCCTGATTAAGGGATCTTGAGTTATATTCTAAATTTAATATAAATTATCTTGCAGGGTTAAATTTAATTAGAATAAATATTAATTATTTTTTTTGCACCAAGAATTATTAGATAGATAAATTTCTGAGGCCAACATATTAAGTAGTACTAGCATTAGTAGTAGTATTAGTACTAGCATTAGTAGTAGTACTAGCATTAGTAGTAGTATTAGTACTATCATTAATATTAGTACTAGCTTACCTGCCAACTTTCAATCCTTTCTAGGATNAGTACTAGCATTAGTAGTATTAGTACTAGCATTAGTAGTAGTAGTACTAGCATTAGTAGTAGTAGTACTAGCATTAGTAGTAGTAGTACTAGCATTTGTAGCACTAGCATTAGTAGTACTATCATTAGTATTAGTACTAGCATACCTGCCAACTTTCAATCCTTTCTAGGATGATTTTCCCCAGTAGTAGTTAAATGGAATTTAAATTGCAATTTTAGACCGAAACATACGCTGTATTTTGTAATAGCTTATGCGGACCACAACGATAGTATTACATATTAACATATATGCTTAATTTTTTAAAAATAGTGGTTGTCAAAAAGATTATATATTAAGTCTATAAATGCAAGAAATATATAGAAAGCATACATTTTACTACCACTTTAAATATGGAAAAAAGTTTTTACGACTAATGCGTAAAAGTTGGCAGGTAAGTACTAGCATTAGTAGTAGTATTAGTACTATCATTAAAATTAGTACTAGCATTAGTATCAGTAGTACTATCATTAATATTAGTACTAGCATTAGTATTATTATTATTAGTAGTAGTAGTACTGGCATTAATATTAGTATTAGCATTAGTAGTAGCATTAGTATTATTAGTACTAGCATTGGTATTAGTAGTAGTATTAGTACTAGCATTAATATTAGTACAAGTATTAGTATTAGTAGTAGTATTAGTACTAGCATTAATAGTAGCATTAGTACTAGCAATCGTAATACCACTAGCATTAATAGTAGTAATAGTACTAGCATTAATAGTAGCATTAGTGCTAGGAATCGTAATACTACTACCATTAGTAGTAGTAATAGTACTATCATCAGTACAAGCGTCAGTACTAACTAAAATAGCTTACTTCCTACCAAACTTATTTTATAAACATAATTTGTGTTTAGTTCTTCTTCTTCTTCTTGCTTGAGCTTGTCAGATATGTGGCACCTCTGCACATGTTGCATTTTGTACCATGCTTCAAGCCCAATTTTTTTCTAGTTCCATTGTCTTGGGTCGCCTACTTTATTTATATAGTCTGACAGTCCCTTAATGGAATTAAGGTGAAGCTCTTTAGGATATGGATTGCCTAAGGTAGTGAGGCGCGTAAGGGCGAGGGCATCACATTCGTATAGGATGTGATGTGCTGATTCTACAGCTTCACGGCATTTCCGACATATTGGTTCTTGTTCGAAAAGTCCCAATCTATGTAGATGTTTCCTGAAATGATAATGCCCAGTGATGAAGCCTACAATTGTTTGAATCTTCAATCTTGGGAGCCTAAGAATTTCAGAAGCAATTTTTGCAGAAGGGCTGCTGATCATGCTTTTAGCATGTTTTTGTCCAGGAGAATTGCGCCAAACTTTGTTCATCTCCTGTTTTTCCCATTTTAGGACAGCCTTCTTTGTAGTCTTCATATTGATTCCACAGAAGGGTTCCGTTCCTATTGGATTGAAAGAGGATCCCTGTTTTGCGAGTTCATCAGCTCTTTCATTACCATCAATTCCCATATGCCCTGGTACCCAAATAAGAATGATTTTATTCCTTTTTGCCAGTTCTATTAGGAGATTCTTGCATTCCAGAACAATTTTTGATTTTACTTGAAATGAGTAAAGAGCCATCAAGGCTGCTTGACTGTCGCTGAAAATAAGAATCCGCTTACCATGGTAGCCTTTCTTAATATTTATCTGCAGACAGTTTACAATAGCAAGTACCTCCGCCTGAAAGACAGTAGCATACTCCCCAAGACCTTCAAAAAGGTTGAATCTTGGTGACAAGCCACAGACACCCAGTCCTGAGAGGTTACCTTTCTTTGATCCATCGGTATACCAGATTAGATCATCATTTTTTGTATCGATCGTGTTGTTATCCCATTCTTCTCTGGTAGGAAAAACTACTTCAAATGGTCTTTCAAACACGTACTTTCTCTCCATGCAGTCAGAAGGCATAAGGAGAGTTGGATGGTAAATTTTCTTAGTAATACTGGTATGACCTCCAGAAGAGGGCTTGTCATACCATTGATATTGCAATTTCATTCTATATGCAGTCATTCTGGCAGAGCTGCACATGAAGATATCTAAAGGAGTNTAATTACTCTATTTCAAATTTTGATAAATTCCAAGGATTTCGATTACGTAAAAATTAATCTACTAGACTTTTCTTAGATTTGTAATCAGAAAACAAGGATATAATGTTACTTAAGTGGCTTAAACAGACCTTCGTCGAATCATCGTGCATTGATATTTATTTTTAATTTGTTTATTTGTTGTGGTAGTCGAAGTCATTTCAATTTAAATTTATAAATTTAAAAATTCTGAAGTAAAGAAATTATGATAACTTCTTAATATAAAGTAAAATAAATTTTGCAAAAATATGTAACTTTTATTTGAAATACTTCTTATTTTTTTAAGATTCAAATAAATCAATGATGCCTAAATTGTGTGAATTTAAGGCATTTCATGAAATAAAATCTAAGTCCCTGGCACTTTTAAAAAATGTATTATTAATTTCATATACTATATCACTAGTACATATTCAAAACAAATTGTTTACAATGAAAACGTAATATTTAAATGTTTTCAAACATTTATTTTTTTTACTATTAAAATAATATTATAACTGTATAGTTTATAAATGATATAAGGTAAAAAATAAGCAATTTCATTTTTTCTGAAAAAATTAAGAGGCGCTTTTTAAACTTTTAATTTTGATCGACACTATTTAAAAACTTATTGCGATCTTAGAAATAATTTTTATAACTTGATTAAATTTTTGCAGAATTTTAAATCATAAGAATTTCGCTGAATTTTAAATAAAATTTGAAATACAATTACCAACACTATGAATAAAAATTATGCTCTTTAATTGCCAAGAGTTGCAATAATATGTCGCTTGAAACGTGCAAATATTTTGTTTCTCCTCATTATGACTCCAATGAAGGAGAAAGTTTTTTACAGGGTCTAAAAGAGAAGAAAATTTTGTTTCTCCTCATAATGACTCCAATGAAGGAGAAAGTTTTTTACAGGGTCTAAAAGAGAAGACAATTTTGTTTCTCCTCATAATGACTCCAATGAAGGAGAAAGTTTTTTTACAGGGTGTAAAAGAGAAGACAATTTTGTTTCTCCTCATTATGACTCCAATGAAGGAGAAAGTTTTTTACAGGGTGTAAAAGAGAAGACAATTTTGTTTCTCCTCATTTTGACTCCAATGAAGGAGAAAGTTTTTTGCAGCGTGTAAAAGAATTGGCAATTTTGTTTCTCCTCATAATGACTCCGATGAAGGAGAAATGTTTTTACATGGTGTAAAAGAGAAGACAATGCATGATCTTCAAGGAAGGGTGAAAATTTAGAAAATTCAGTTATTCGATTGGATTTGTAGTTAAAAGAGCTAATAAAATGAATTCAAATGAAATATACTATTTTGTGATAATAACACAGACCAAAACAAGAAGCGGAAAATCAAAACACAAAAACTACATAACATCTCTTTCTACCTCAATTGCCTGTTGCTGATTGATAACTGCTAATTATTTTATGGTGATACGAATTAAAATTTTAGAGGTCTCAGTCGAACGGACCAGAATTTATGAAGTCATGAATGTCAAAAAATACAAGAAAAAACATTCAATTCTGTCGTTCAAACGTTCATACCAGTCCTGTCCTTATGAATATCAAAAGTTAGCGGGTAAAAGAGCATTCAGTACAGTCGTTCAAACATTCATACGAGCACTGTCTTCATGAATGACAAAATATACAGGAAATAAACTTTTCATTCAGTCATTTAAACCTTCATTCAAGTCCCGTCTTCATGAATGTCAAAAAATACAGGGAAAAAATATTCAATCCAGACGTTCAAACTTTCGAACGAGTACTGTCTACATGAATATCAAAAAATACAGGGAAAACACTCAATTCAGTCGTTAAAACATTCATACGAGTCCTGTCTACGTTTATCAAAATATACAGGAAAAAACAATCCAGTGGGTTAAATATTCATAAGAGTCCTGTCTTCATGAATGACAAAAGATAGGTGAAAAAATATTAAATTTAGTAATTCAAACATTCATAAAAGTCCTGTCTACATGAATATCAAAATATACAGGAAAAAAAACATTCAATTCAGTTATTTAAACATTTATACAAGTCCTGTCTTCATGTATGTCTAAAGATATAGGGGAAAAACACTCAACTCAATAGTTCAAACATTCATACGTGTCTAATGAATGTCTTCATGTGACTCTTCATGAATGTCAAAAGAAAGAGAGAAACGAAGATCCAATTCGAAGTTTTTTAAAAAAAAGATATTTTGCAATTGTTTTAATATTGATATATTCTGCAATAATTTGATTCGCTGAAAATATGGTTTCAAAAATAATTAATCCCTTTTCAGCCATTTTGAAAAAGAATATTAAAGTAATTCAAAATTTATGTTGATGGTTTTGGTTATTTTAGACCAGTAGGTCTTAAAAATTCCCAATTTATTGACAATCCTAATTGGTAACAAAGGTTATCCATTTAGGAAGGAAATAATAATTAATTGAAGGCAGTAAATGATGTTAAGTATTTATTTCTATGATTCATTCCTTTAATATTGATATATTTATCTTCATGTTAAATATATTTCATCTTAGTATTAACTAACACAATATATCTTTTCAAATTTTTTTTACCAACATATCTTTTTGATATACATTTTCAATGAGCATAATTTTAACAAAAAATACACTTTCCAAAAAGTAAAAAACATCGAGCGATGCTTTATCATTCCCTGAGGGAAAAAAATCTTTAAAATTTTTTTATGCTTTATTGAGGTCGAAAACATGTCAGCATGCACGTTTCTTTTTGATCCATTTTGAAAAGATTATTACAGTCGTCGAGTCTATTTAAAAAATATTTGAAAAGAATGTAGTGATCTTTTATCCAGTACTTCCTAATTAGCAAATATACTTTTAAGTATGCAAAAAAATGCAAAAGTCCAGTCTCTTTAAAAGTTGTAAAGCAAAATATTAATAAAAGTAATTTCTCATTTCTAAATAATCTCTTAAGTACTCAAAAATTATTTACTGGGAAACCCAAAACATGTCAATTCATGTAAGTTTTAACTAATATTCGAAACTGTATTTAGAATGTCCAGAAAAAAAATTAGACAACTTATTTCGTATTCTAAAGAACTAACTAAATGAGCTTAAGAAAAACTGATTCAACAAAAGAATTTAAATAAAAAAAACTCTTTATATTCGCCTTTTCATTATAAAGCAGCATCGAAACCAAAATGAAGAATTTTTTATGTTGACTTACATGTAATTATCTTATGTTCAAACTACGTTAATTAAAACAGAACATTTTGTCCCGAAAAAATTTTCTACTTGTAATTACAACTCAGAGAACTGGAAAATTTTTCATATGTAAAAAAAAAAAGGATTTTCTACTTTTATTAAATATAATATATTCATATTGTATGAAACTTTATTCGTTTTCGTTAAACAGAAACTTAAATAAGTGTATTAAATTCTAAGTATGTTTATAAGTAGCATTTACAAGATTTCTCATTGTTTTCTGTTTATAATTAAAATAATTACTATTGTTTCCTATTAATATATGTGAGTAAATATTTTGTGGACACATTTTCCTTTTTCTACGAACTATGAAGCAGTTTTAATGACAAAAGACATAAAATCTGATTAAAAACCCTTTAAGAATAATATTTGTTTTTTAAAAAATTTTATTATATTCAAGACTTCAATAAGCAGTCGCAATATGACGTAATCATA